TGAACTCATTCAAAATGTTCTGGAGTCAGATTCAAAACAGGAAACAGTCCAAATGTCTGACTTTGGATCAGATCTGACTGACAGACCGTGAACATTATGGAAGCCTTAAAGTGATGCCATCTTCCCTCCTTCATCTGCACATTAAAGCCAAACAAAAATGCTCATTAAAAGTCTGCAGGTCTGAGAGAGACTGAGTCATTGTGTCATGTCAAACACAGTAAGAGGAGCTGAAGCACAGATGTAAAGAGCAGACGTTCATCAGATTGTGACGTCACTCCGTTTTGTCTTCATGTACATTCAGTCTATTTATAATGCAGAATTTCCTCTTTTATAATAACACATTTTATATTTTCTAATCACAGACTGACTCAGTGTCGACTCTCAGAGACTCAGTGTGAAGTTGTGGCCTCTGCTCTGAAATCCAACCCCTCCCATCTGACACAACTGGACATGAGTTTAAATGACCTGACGTTTTCAGCAGTGAAGCTTCTCTGTGCTGGACTGGAGAGTCCCAACTGTCGACTCAAGACTCTGAGGTGAGTTCACTGACAGCAGATGTTCTTGTTTTTCTATATTTCAGATCTTTGATTGATGTTCATAAATGTTCAGGATGTTGTCATGTAATTAATATACTCTTAGTGCTTGTTTTCTGATTATATTGTTTTATGTACTTTAATAATGAAGGGTTGTAAAGCAAGGCCACTTGTGACTCACAACCTAAGTGCTCAGCCAGACTGAAAAACAGGAAGTTAGTATAGAGCTATACTAGCATATTAATAAATACAGGAAGCCAGACAAAAAAGAGGAACTTGTACCATATAAGCAGTGTTTGTATCATCATCATCATCATCATTGTTTATTTATATAGTACTTTAAAAACACGCAAGGATGACCAAAGTACTGAACAATAGAAACATAATAGTTACCATAAGAATAATAAATACGATAAAATAATGAATATAGCAAAAACAATAAAATACAAGTTAGTCAACCACAGAGTCAAAAGCCAGTGAATACAAATGTGTTTTCA